CTGGAGGTTGTGAGAATTTTAACACCTCACGTTGCAGCAGCTCTGAAAGGTAAGGAAAGGCTGCTTTGAGCAGCCACTTCAGTCCTGTGGGGAAGGCAGAACGAGGCATACGTGGAGAGGGCTGCTTGGACAGCTGGAGAGATGGGAACAGAGTGGGGTGGGATGGAGTTACTGATGGCCCAGTGGCACCCTCACTGTTCACAGCAGAGACACCAGCACAGCACCATGCAAGTACAGATGTTTCCTCAGCCGTGCAGAAAGGAAAGTGAGCAGGTCTTGGATGTAAAGGGATCGGGTATTACTGAGCACCAGATAGAGGAAAAACAGGCACATCCCTCTGCCTTCAGGATGTGCCTCTATTTCTTGCTTTTTGGGGTTATCTGTCAGGTAGAGAACAGGAGCTGAGGTGGCCAGTCTTGCTGAGAACTGAGCTGTGTTTGCAGGGAGTCAGGTGTTCCCTGACACTTTGATGTCTAACAACTCATTGCCCCTATAACTACAGGGTTGGGAAGTGGATTATCCTGTCTCCAAGGCTGACCAAACTCCAAACAAGGTAAAAAAGGTTCAAAACCCTATAGTGTAGGTGTTGCAATGTGACACTCAACAGCAGGGAAGAAGAAGCTCCTTCACCCCAAGTGATGAAGCCCCAGATTGTGCTGGGTGCTGGTTATTGGAGTGGAGGTGGCCTCTGTTCTCTATTCTAAGTGATGGTGCTAAGTACGTGCATCTCGTAAATGTTGCCAACTAGTTGGACAGTGAGCAACTCTTAGTCTTGAGTTTTATTCCTCTTTAAAAAAAACCCCAAGCCCCATGAAAATCAAACCATAATCCTTTAAAAAAATGGAAAGGTTTATTTCTTTAGAGGCTATTTGTCACATACACTGCTAGAAAAGTCATGGTGCTAAGGGGATTAAATTCAGTACAGATTAGATGTTTCAGTGACATTTTATTTGGAACAAAGAACTTGTAGCTGGAAATCTTCACTAGAAGAAGGATGGTTCAGAATCACGGATTCTGATTTTTCAGACCTGCAGCAAAGGGCGTCTGTCATAATTTAAAAACTCAAATATGTTTTCTGTGGAAGTACCTTGCAGTTTCTGCTGAGACAGCCAAGTAAATTTAAGAAAAGCTGGTTGTGCTTCTATTGTGAATGCTTATGTGATGGATCTCGTCACTGGAGGGCATCTGCACACAATGCTAATGCATTTAGGTCTTTTTCTCCTCTGAATAAACTCTGAATTTTGATTGCTCATTAATGCAAAACCTTCAAATTTTTGTTTCAAGCTCCCAACTAATGGTCTTGTGGGTGTTTTTAATTGTATCAAAGACAGACACACACATAAACTACACAAGAGCAGAGCTGTTAGCACACTGGTGTAAATATACCTCACAGAGACCCTTCTGTGCTTGGTTACAGCCAAGCTCTGATTCCTCATCAGGGACAGCCTAGCGGGCTTCTGGATGCTGAAGCTCAGGCTCTTCTTCCCAGGCATTTGGCTAGACTGTTAATTAGTGCTACATCACCTCTCTGCTGATCCCTGCCTGTGCCTCATCTACTTGTCTTCTAATGAGTTTGTGGTCTACCTGGAAATTTTGCAAACAACTCGACGGGGAGGGGGGAGCAATCTCTGTCAGTTATTTTCTCCTTCATTGGATAAACAACTTGAACATAAAAAACCTGAAATGCCTAATTAGCTAAGGTTTGTGGGGGTTTAAACTGAGGTAAAGACAATTATTGTAAATGCTGAAGAAAGTGAGCTCGGATTTTGCAGTTTATTTTATTTTATTTCAGTCGAGGCATCTGTGGCGGGGGGGGTTGCTCATGGTGTGAGTCGAGAAAATTAAGCCAATTTATCGCTGTCTAAAGGTAATGTAACCCGAGGAAAAAAGTAATTTCAGGGTGATATAACAACAATTCAATTGCATTTGGAGAAATGCAACTACAAACCTGTAAGGGGAGATGACATGCTCTGTACCTGTACAGTAAAACAGAGCGAGGAAGGCATCAGTGACTCACGTAGAGATGAATCACATCTCTGCATTCCACCACATGGCTACCAGGGCAAGCTTATCAATAAACTTTACATGCCAGGAAATACAGGATGCCTTTTCCCCACAGCACACTCCCTTTGATAACCTGAGAAGGCAGGCACCCAAGTGTATGAATATGCAAATTGCCTTTCTAATGAGTTGAGCGCACTGTCCACCAGACAAGGGGTTGTGACTATGTAAATGCATGCAGCCCTTTGGTGTTCTGTACCTCCTCCAGCCCCATCTCTCACTGATGTATAAATTGGGGCCCTGCCCACACACAGGGGGGCACAGGCAGAATACTGCAATCAGCAAACTAGATTTGCTAAATTCCAGAGTTTTCAGGCAATAATTTGCCTTTATCACAGATGAGTCCAATTCCTCACTGAGCTGAGGCACTGAGATGGGATCAGGACAGGTTTTGGAAGTCACCCTCAGCATCCCTTGTGGCTGCTTCCCAGGACAGCCTGGACATACGTCCCCAGAGCTAAGTCCTTGCTCTGAGCCACTGTCAAATTTAATTTCTTTCTGAATTATTCCACATGTAGCCAGACAATGTGTCTTGCAGTTGCTTACTGCCCAGTCACAGCCTCGTGCCCTAAGCCAGGATGAGCACTAGTTAAACACAGAGGAGAAAATACGAGGTGAGATTTGGGAGGGAGAAGGACCTGGGAATGCTGGTGTAAAACAGAAATGCTGGGAGCATGAGAAATGAAGAAGCCAGACTTCCTATGGATTTGTTTGGCTTTGTTGGTTACAGAAGTTACTAATATTGATTTAGGGCTTTCTCCTAATGAGGCACAAAGAGAGCCTCTCTCCTGCTGGAGTTGGAAAAAGATCATTGCACTTCAGCTTTCTTCCCAGCTAAGGTATGCTCAAGGTCTCTCTTCACCTTACCAGCTATTTTTTGTGACATGTGTAAGGAACATCTGAGAGCATTTCCCCTCGGTTAAATTTGATCAAAAGTGCATGTGTGGACACTGATGATTTAATAAGCCTCGTGTCTTTATGAAATCAGGCTAAAAATAAAGCAACTATGCTGTCTCTCTGAACAAAAGAACAACACTATTGCTGCTGAGACCTTCCTGCTGGAAGAAGTACGGTTAGGATCTGGTTGTCACGGCTGGTTTAGCTGTTCAGCAGCCAAGTCAGGATGTGCTGCCAGGGACTACGAGAGTGCTCTGTGGTGGATTTATCACTGGCAGGAGAGGAAAAGGTCACTCAGGCTGCAAGGTGGAGTCCACCTCATTCTGGTACCTCTTGTCAGGAGGGAACAGGAAAACTCTTTCTCAAGCAGTGTATGATGCTTCATCACGATCTGCCAATGGACTACCCCCTCTTGAAATAAATGCACAGGTTTTAAGGAAAAAAATCCTTTCTTTTTTTCTGAGAATTGGTGGAGAAATGGCAAGACACATGCTGCACAGTCTGTCCACTGGGAAATGCACAGTGTGTTACAGCTGTGGAAAGTCTCACAGTAGTGCAATAGGCAGAGCCTTTTAAGCAAGCTGTCAGGAGTTTATTTACAAGAGCTCTCCTCCTGCAGAGAGGCTCTGTGATATTCTGGTGCAGAACAGCAGGTGTGACGAGCTGGTGTGTGTTCTGGAAGAGCCAACACTGCCTCTTGCATGCAGAAAAAAACAAAGCTGCATGTCTGGAAATGATGGGCAAGATGATTTTAAAGCTGAGTAGTTTCCCACCCACTGTCTCCTGGGGTTGTGGTGATGTGCTGTGTCTGATCTCTGTACTCCTGCAACAGTGCTCTACGTGGATTTATTTTACTCTTCCAAGTAGTTACACAGTTAATAAGTCCTTTAGGGTCTTTTTCTCCAGAGAAGAGAACTTTAACCACATTTTAAACCAGTGGCAGCAGATGCTCTCTCATGTGGGTTTTGTGGGACTAAAGCTCAATTCAGAACTGCTAAACCAGCACAGTAAATAGCAGTCAACACCTCATACTGAGCACATGCTTTGAAGGTAAGGCCTTTTGCCTCCCTGCAGCTGTTCACAGAGCTGCCACTTGCCAAAAAATGGATGAAATGTGTTTGTTCAATTGACAGATATCTCCTGAACGAGAGATATGATCAGCACACCACTTCTCTCCTTTTTCCAGAGGGAATGGATAGGCTGCAGAGCTGCTGATTTGGAGTAGAAATATCCCTCAGTTTAAAAGCAGGCAAAACGTGAAGAATAAATGCTATTGGCATCCAGCAGATGGTGGTTGACATGTTTTCTAGCTGTCACGAGTCCTTCAGAATTCTTCTGTTGTATATGCCAGAGTTTCACCTTTGTGCTGCCGGGCTGAACACAGAAGTGACGAACACAGAAATGACAAACACAGGTAGAGGTTCTCTGCAGGGCTCTATGGGTAAAGAGAATTAAGCTGAACCAGCAGAAGAGGCTTAGTAACTCTCAAATTAATATGTGCGCCTCAGACATTGTGATTGGGATATTCCACATTTAATTCGCTTCGTGTGGTGAAGTTCATTGCATCAGGTCTTTAATCATTGTCTCTAATCTGAGGTAAGAACTGAGTCACCCCCAGCATCTCTCTCAAGGACATTTTCCTGACCGTGACGCTGAATTGCAACACATAAATGTCTTTTGCCTGGTACAGTCCTGGACTGTTTTCTTTTGCCTCTGCTTTGAAGTGTCAGCTTTCAGTGAACTCTGGCAACATTTTATTATTGCACTGAGGCAGAGAAGAGCAATTAAAGACTTGACATCTTTGGTATTTTTTTTTTAATAGTACATGTGTCAAAACGCATTTAACAAATCATGGTTGGTGCACAAGCCTAATTAATGCTAAAACGTAAGTAGAGTTCATGTCATTTTGGAGCAAATGAGAATTTTAAAATGTGTAATAACAAAAAATGGTTGCCTTAGTTTAGATATAGGACCTAATTACTAATTAACTCCTGCTTTTGAGAGCTGAAATCTTATAGCCTAAATATTCCTTTTTGTTCCAGGACACAGCTGGACAAGAAAGATACAGGACCATCACTACAGCCTACTACCGAGGAGCCATGGGCTTTGTGCTCATGTATGACATCACCAGTGAAGACTCCTTCAATGCAGTGCAGGACTGGTATGAAACACTGTTTTTGTTGGGTTTGTTTGGGTTTTGGTCAATTCTCTCCTCACAGTTGTTTGTTGAGAACATGAGACATCCCACCCTCCGTACTGCTTTGCATCACCGTATTCTTTCCTCTTCATCTAAACTCTAGGATAAGTAATTTAATTCATAAACTTTCCTTAAAAAAAGTTCTACAGCTTCACTTTAATAAAAACGTTACAATTCAAATGCTGTAGCATACTATAGAACTTGTTGCCTTTAAAAGTTTAAATTTATTGTGAAGAAATTAATCCTTTAATGCATTATTTGGGCTTATGAGGTTTCTGGGTATGCTGTTAAAACAATTCAGGTTAACAGTGGTTGTTCGCTTCAAATCCCAGGGATTTGGGGAGAGGTTGTGTTTATCCTCAGAAGCAGTAGCCCTGTGAGTCCCCTCAATCATTTCTGCTTGTAACCTGGTAGCTGTGTACTGCAGATAAGTGGTCAGGGTGCAAAGAAAGGCAGTGCAGTGTTAATGGGATCTCCCAAGTCTGATGGATTTGCAATGATTTGGGTGACCTGTTGGGGAGAATGTGACGTGCTGGCTGTGGCGCTGGCTCTGAGCATCCAGCTCAGCCTGGCTGTCTGTTGATCACTTATTCTGTACCCTCTAATCCAGGCTGTAACTCAAAAGCTGCAACAACGTGGTTGGTTGTTTCTAATAATCTGGCTTTCCTCCGGGCCGCCCTTGTTTTGTTCTCGCTGTCCACTGAAGCAGTTGGTCTTGATCATCAGGACTAAAGATGTAGTCTCCACTTTCACCCCATCTTAGTATCCATGACACCAGGCTGCAGAGATGAACTGCAGCAGCATCCCAAGCTATCCTTCAGCAGCTGGTGACAGAGGAATAAATTTTGTCCTTGTTAGAAACACAAACCCAAAGGTTTTGCCAAAACCACTTTCCTCTATGTGGCAAACCCTCCACCGAGCTCAGATGAAGCTTCTTCTGCAAGTGTGTGCATGGGGATGTTTTCCATAGGAGTGCAGGCATGAGAGCTTGGACTATCTTTCACTAAACTATAAATGTTTTCAGCTTGGTTCCCTGGTGAAACAAGGTATATCTGACTACACAGCTTGTCTATCCATCTGAATGTTGGTTCTGCTCTAGTAAGTTTTACTTATAGTCTTAGCAAAAAAAAACCAAAAACAAATCTCAATCTTGGACCTGCTACTATTTTGAAGTTTGTACAGGTGAAGTTTAACCTGAAGCTTTGTATTGGAAGTGGTCTAAGGTCTGCTCCATCAGAGGCACTGGTGCAAGAGTAAGAACCGGGAAAGGTCAGTTTTGTCAATTTGACTTCACGTCTTCCATTGCCACGGGAGCTGCAGGAATATCTCTGCTAGGAGCACCTTGTCAGCCAAAGGACAGAGGTGAACCAGCAATGTATTTTTACTCCGTGTGTCAGGGATCTTTCTAACCAGTTTTAAGATTCTGAGCACAAATGATGTAGCGGGGAGGATAAAATCGGCCCATTTCTTTCCTTCCCGAAGCTGGTGCACCGGAGAGGAGATGAGGGCTGTAGCAAAGCCCACAATGCTGGGCCAGCAGAGTCCTCTAGCGGCCATGCAGCTGCGAGACAAAGGTTTTTCCCAGCCTGCAAAATCGCTGTCTAAACTTCCGAAGGCACAAGAAATGGAAACAAAAGCTTTTGTCTGTGGCTGGTGCTGCTACATCAGCCTCTGCCATTTTCCAGCGTAGCAAATAGGTAGGATTTTTGGTGGGGTTTATTCCCCACAATGCTGGATCTCGTCTTCAGTCAGGAATTGTACTCTCCATGAAAAATTAAGGTGTCTCCTACTTGGCTCCTTTAGCTCAGAACCTTTGTCTTTGGTTCATTGGTACACGACTGTTTTCACAGCCTCCTGATCGGGCCTCACCTACCCACAAGGGAAATGAGAACATCTCCTCCAGCCTGCCATATGATTTCTTCCTTGAGAGATCATTTTACCTCACCCTTTTTATGGGTGGATGTCCTAAAAGAGGATCCTGGTTTGCTTTGTGTCACTCATAGTTCTCCTACACCAAGTGAAGTCACCCTTTCTCCTGAATGAGAGGATTGTGGTTGTATATCAGGTATTTAGACAGGCTCTCCAGGTAGTAAATGAATGTGAAGTAGAGCCTTTCCTTCATTCACATCAATCACCCCAATTAATGATGATTTTCTTAAAGCTGCTGAGAAAGAACCAAAATTTGATGCGTTTGGGAATACCTGGAACATGACTTGTTCTCCTGTTCACTGGAAAAAGTAAAACATGTATGAGAAGCCTTAAAATATTAAGCCTGAGTGATTTTCCTTACTGCAGTGTGGCAAGAGTTCAGTCAGATCACTTTACAAGAAAAAGCATAAATGGGCAAATGCAAAGATGGGATTTACCTGATATTTGAAAATAAGTAATTATTTTGTTTGAATATGTGTTTCCTGTAATAATAATGGCCAGTCTTCGCGAGCGAAGATCCGGGGAAGGTCTTTCCACCTTCCAGCCTGCGCATTGGATTTTTTTAGGTGAGACACAGTGTGCGCGGAACTGAGCCCACCCTTTAATCCTAAGGTTCATCTGCCGGGGCCAAGCGAGCTTGGACGGTGGCAGCGAGGTCCTTAGGACGTAGGTGGGTTGCCTTTTTAAGGGCTAACGAGCCCCACCTGCCCGGGAGTGGCCCTGACCGGGAATCGAACCCGGGTCTCCGCGGTGATAGCGCGGCGCCTTTACCCCCTAGACCACCAGGGGCTCCTATGTGTTTCCTGTAAGGGGGAGGGAAAGGGTTAAATTAGCTTTCATGGTTTTCAGCTCAGTTTCTAGAATTGTTTTTTAGCAGTCTCCTTTGATAGCTGTTATTTGACAGTGGGTTGATAGTTTTGTGTGTAGATAAATCAGTGGTTTATACCTCATTTGAAATTGTACTGGAACTAGAATATATTCAGTATTTGAAAATGGAAAGTAAATAGAAAATATTATGGAAACTCTGCTTTGGACAATCTAGACAATTTCATAGAAGGAAAATAAAAATTGGTAAAATTTAACTTATATCCAAGTGACAGCTGGGTTCACAAATCATCAGCTTTATTTATCTTTAAAGCTGATCTCTAAATTGGGTTGTTGATGCCTCCTGTTGTAACTGTGAACCTGAGACTATTTTTCTTCTAAGTGTGAAGCACAAAAAACGTGTTTTATTGTTAATTTGGGGAATTCAGCACAAACAAGGCACAGCATTTTTATTGTGTCACAGAACTACCTTTCTCCCAGTGTGTATATTGGGCCACCCTGATAGGTGTTGAAACATCTCAATTGGCCAAGCCTTTTTATTTATTTATTTGTCTTTCCAAAAGCTTCTGGAAATTTGCTGCCATTTTTTTGTATGGGCTTCGTGGTATCTTATGTTCTTCATAACTTCATAACTTTTTTTGGTTGGTTGATCTTTATTCCTAATAAGAGTAAATGCTGGTGTTCTGTAAGAGGTTTCTCACTAGCTTGTACAAAACAAGAAGGATGTGTTTCTGTGGGGGATCCTTCATGCTCTTTGCTTCTTTTTCATGAGTAATTCTGTTTAAATGCTTGAGATTTGGCAGTTTGTCCCCATCCAGTGCCAGGGGCTGAAATGATCCAGAGGTGGAACTGGGAGTCAGAAGAAGAGCCTGTTTATTGATGTTTTAAACTGAAGGTTCTATTTCTCTCTATTGCTTATGGAGGGAGACTGGAGAGATTTCATCTTCCTGGGCTTTTTGCTCATTTCTGCAGTCACCCCCTTCTGTGCAATCCAAACAGGCTGCTCCTTCTTCAAGGCAAGTTGCCCACTGAAATGACCCCCTTTTCCATAGTTATCTGTGAAGTAGCACCACTGGCTTCTTTCCATGGAAAAGGCAAGCAAGCAACTCAAACTAATTAAAAATTGTCATTGGTAGATCAGAGCTGGAGGCTCCTGCTAATTCAAAGGAGAAGAAGTCAGGTGCTTTACTGTTAAGGGAGTTCAAGCAAACTTAAACAGAAGTAAAAATCTGGCTCTCCTGAGAAATGGCAGGTTTGGCTGAAAGTGCAGTGTCCAGCCTGGAGTGGTGGTTAACAAGGACAAGGAGTGCAAGGTGAGTTAGGGGCTGGAGGTGGGAAGGAGTGTATTGCTTCTGGCAGAGCAGCCTAATTACCTTTGGGAAGGAGGGAGTCTTAAAAGATAGAGCTGGCTTGGGGAAGATAAAATAGGTTGTGGTGGTCTGAAAAAATGGATGGAAGTGAATGCCACCAAGCTAATGCTGTTCTGCTGCCAGCTTTGGGGCACCTCACCGAGGATGGTGGGAGAGGACTGGCCCTCAGGATAAACAGGGAAGAAAATCTTGAGTTTCATCATGGAAAAATTATAAAGAGAATGAAGTGTGCATCTATTGTATGGCTCTCTCTATGGGACAATTATCCTGAAGAGCTATAATTGATTGCCGTTCCTCTGACAGATGACAGCTGAAGGAAAATAAGCTTTTTTGTCCCTAGACTTCAAAAATTCTTCAGTGCAGCTTTTTATCTGAATCTCATGACCTTGCAAAGTCTTAAAAAGAAACTTTATTAACACACCAAATTAAGGAGGAGTAAACCAGAATGGTGCTGTGAGCTACAGAGCATCCTCGCTTTGTGTGTAAGCCAGGTCACTTGTCTTTGAGGTGGTGACGTTGTCATTAATGGTGCTTGTTTTCAGATTTAACATATGATCATTTTGGCACAGCTGATGGAATGTGACAATCTTTTCTGACCTGCTGCAGGGCCACCCAAATCAAGACTTACTCCTGGGACAATGCACAAGTGATCCTGGTTGGAAACAAATGTGACATGGAGGATGACAGGATTGTTCCTGTGGAGAAGGGGAAGCACCTGGCAGATCAGCTCGGTGAGTGGAAAGCTTTCCTTTCTCCCTCTTTTTCCCTCTGCTACTTTATACTGTGCTCCTTTTAGTTTGCACAATAAAAAGTGCCCCCAGGAGTAATACTTTAATAATGGTCTCACAGCTAAGAAGGGGAATATATTCCAGATCCATATTTTACTTGCTTCATCCTCAGTAGGCCAAGATGTCCTTGGTAGAATACTTGGAGTGTTGCTGTATCTGTAAAGGTGATGCCTGAGGATGGAAGGAAGATAAAGTTTGTCTGAACACAAAAGCTTTTATTAGCTCAGCAGAATGAAAAGAGAAAAGGTTTTCATAAATACAGTTCTGCCTCCAGGTCTCCAAGTCCCACGTACTCATTGCAAATCAATGCAAAGGTTGATTTTTGTTGAAGAATTTCTTTCTTTTAATGAAACAACAAAAAGAAGAGTAGTTTATACATGAGAACTGTAGAACTGAGTAAAATGTATTTGAAAAAGTACTAAGCTTTTTTATCCAGGTAAGGAAATGACATTATGTTATTGATGTGGGATAGAAAAAGCAAAGCAGTTCCATTGAGAGGAAATTGGGATTGCAAAGAAAATTTTAGAATGAACACCAAAATAAGCTTATACTAGTTTATCATTTATTTATCATTTTTCATTATATAGTAAAGCATATATGATATTTTTAATATGGAATCAGGGCTCTGTGTTAAGATTTAACTATACTGTTGTCTTCCGTTAAAGAATTCAAAATAGCAAGTAAATCCTGTTAAAAAATTAATTTAAATTTAAACAAAAAGATGGTCACTGTTCCAAAGGTTTAAGGGCAATCAGGTTATTTTTTTCATGTTTCATGTGAAAAAAAAAAAAAAAAAAAAAAGGCATGTCTGCAAACAAAATCCTGCAGGTTTAGAATTTGGAGTGTGAATTCTATATATGGCAAGCACAAAGGGGTCCTATTTGTGACTTGAGCCTTGAGGCACTGCCATCATAAACAAATAATGAGCAAATATCAAACTAAACCCCTCACTATTGTTATTGTAATAATACATCTTTACATGTAGGACTAGCAAAGCAAACAGAGACATGGTTAGTTTGCAAAATCAGTTACAGGCTCTTTTTTTACCCATCAGAATTTAATTTGCTTTTGAAATGATCAATGTGAATAAACTTGGTTCCTGGCTTGCAGACTCTCAAAAAGACTGTGCATGCAAGTGTGTCCACATATTTTGCAGGAATAATTACGCTGTTAGTAGCTGAATATTTGTCCAGAGCAAAGTAACACCGAATAGAAAGTTTTATTTGAACTCCCACTCCAATTTGGACATCTAATGTTTATTTTCTCCCCCCAAAATTCATCTGTTTGTTTGATTACAAACTTGGCATCTAGAATCTGAATCCTTTATGTATGGGACACTTCAAAACACACACACACACACACAGTTACCATAGCAACTGAATCCATCAGTAGGAAACTGTTTTGCTGAAGAATCTCCAGTTCTGCCCCTGACCTGTCCTCGTGTCTGTGCAGCTCACCCTGGACAAACACCCCCCAGTGCAGGGTAACCCAAAAGTTAATCAATCCTTTGGGAAGTGCTGTCCCAGCCCTGCCCTTCTGCAGCCTCCAAAATGCTAGACACTTTTAAAAAGGGCTAAAAAACAGATCTGATTTTATCAGTCAGTTTTTCCTTATAGTAACTACGTTAATGTGTACGGCATTATCTGAAATTATTTTGTGTGTTAGGTGGGGGAATCTCTTTAATTGACTGCTTAAACTGCTACAGTTCATCATAATGATTCACATAAAGGTTGTCCTTCAGCATGTTGATCCAAATTTGCATAGTGACATTACCATCGTTGAAATAATTCCCTAATCAGATTAAGAAATTGCTATTGGCCTGAGCATGAGCTGAACCAAAAGAGATGGCAGTGGCAGACTAATCAGTTAAGACAAATTATCTTTCCCTTTGTTTGTGGCAGAATCAAAGGAAATTGATGCAATGTGAAACATCCCCAAAATGCAGCACAACAGAGCAGCAGCTTATTGCAAAAGAAACTCTCCCTGGTGCCTCAGCTCCTGCTGCTGGCAATTTAATAACCTGGTAGAACGGCAGCAACAGCCACTGTGAGCACTGGTTGGCCCTTGAGGCCCCTGGAGGTGGAAAGATAAGGAAATGCTTCACAGTTCAGTGCATTCCTGCTGCTGGGACAGGCTTTGGGCTGTCTGTGGGATGCTGGTTCTCCCAGAGAACTGGGTGCCAGCGGGAAGCAGCAGAAAGAGCTGTCTGTGCCATCCCCTCCTTGGCATAACTCCAGCCTTGCTGGCTGGTTTTTTTAATCAGAAAGGGTCAGTGTTTGAGGATCTGTGCTCATCACTGCAATGAGGAGCCGGTGACTGGACACTGGAATTGAAATTGGGTGTAGTTCAGTGGTGCTGAACCTCTTGTCAGGATGGTGCTCTGTGCTATGCAAGGATCCATCACCCTGGAGAGCTTTCCATCTAAACAGACAAAGAACTGGAAGGAACAAGTCTAAAGTCATGGAGCATTTCGCTCCTGAGTGCAGAAGTTGGTCAGCAGAAGGAATGAAACCTCAATCTTCCTCCTCCTTCTGGCCTCTGCTCTTGCCAGATTGCAGCAGGGGTTGGTAGAGCCAGCCTGGTAGGGTGTGTGGAGCCTAGAAAGGTTCCTCACACCTTGCTGGGGGTGGCGTGTCACCAGCTGCAGCCCAGGGGACCTGCACTGGGGAAAGGGGGAGAATCCAACTCCTTTATCCTGGCTTTATTCAGATCTGTATCATCTGCAGATGTGCTTGCCAGGGTGATAGTAAGGACCCATTTATCCCTTTTATGAATATCAGAAAGCATCTCACTGATGCTTGCTAAATTTTAGAAGAATTTCTGCTCACTGTTTCGAGATCGTGGGAATCAACTGAGCTTAAGAGTTATCTAATATCTTGTTTCCTTAAGGTGAATTCTGAAAAAAAAGATATTTTAAAAACCAGCAGGAGCAGCAGCAGCCTCTATTGATACTCTCTGCTCCCTTTTTCCACAGGTTTTGACTATTTTGAAGCCAGTGCCAAGGAAAACATCAATGTGAGGCAGGTGTTTGAGCGTCTCGTGGATATAATCTGTGAAAAGATGTCGGAGAGTGTAGAATCAGACAATTCCAGGGGCACTTCAGGAAGGAGCATGAGACTCACGGACAACCCACCTCCTTCGCAGCAGAACTGCTCGTGCTAGTGAGCACTTCACTCTGAGGAATGTCCTTCTCCCTTCCTGACGAAATTTCACCTTTTCATTTGTGCTGCTGCGTTATCATGTAGTCCAAAGGCAGAAGTCTCTGTTGTAGGAAACTGGTATGTTTGTTTAATGTGCTGGAGTGTTAATAGTATGTATTTCCTCATCCAATAATTTAAAAATCTGCAAAAAAAAAAAAAAAAATTGTAAGTGCACCTTGTGTGAATGTGAGTTACACAGAAGAAAAATAATTGTGTGGTGTTCCAAATGTTATTTCCACAGAGAATGTTGCATTTTTAATTATAAATTCCTCTACTGCAGAGTTTTTTGGTTAAGAACAGCAGGAAGCACAAAACCAGTTAAGAGCGTTGGGTCTAAAAGAAAACGGGGGAAAATCTTTTCTAAAGCAAGATTATACTTTTTTTTTAACATAAAGCCAAAAAAAAAAAAAAAATCAATCCCCAGGTATTTTGAGAGTCATCATTTCTGTCCTAAAGACATGGGCCTCAGTTTTCCTGTACAATGGAGCAGAAAGCAGAGCACGTCTGTCTGACAGGTGCTGGGTGAAGGAGTGAGAGCCCTTCCAGGGGCTCCCCTTGCCTCCAGACTTCTCCCCCATCACCACTAACAGCTTTCAGGGTGCTGGGGGTGTTGCTGTGTTTGGCACCTTCTCGTCCCTAATCTTCTGAGCTGACTGTCCTGCAGCCTTTCCCCTGTATCCTGTAATTTTACCTCTCCAGGTCTGATCTACTCTCATCAACTCCCTGCTGGTGGGTTTGTTGCAGGATGAAGGAAAGGAGGAACCGGCTGCTCCATGCTTAGCTGGAGGCAAAATCTGACTTCTAAGACTTGGAATAGTGCTGTGTCAGAGAGATAAAAATACCAGGAGCCAAAATATGAGTCTTTATAGGTATTAGTGCCAATATTACGAGATTTTCTCTCTGCATTTGCTGTTAATTTATTTTTTTAAATTTTGTGGTAGATGGGTACGTGTGTGGGGATAGTTATTCTGGTTTCAGATTCAAATACCACAAAGTATAACTTTTTAAAAAAAGGAAGGTTGATTAATAAAACATAACTGTGAATTAAAAATGGCAAAGGCATCCTTTTAAGAGTTAGTGTACAAACTTTTTGTTGCTTCATTCTTTGAAGGGGGGAAAAATTTTTAAATTAAGTGGATGTGGAGAGAAATTTAAGGTGAAAATCCTGGAAAGTTTTATGGCTTTACCTTTGGCCTGTGAATTTCTCTGACTGAGGGGACTTCCTGATGTCAGGAACTGGAGTGGAGTACCTGTAATGTGCTGGATCATGACACTATTAAGTGCTTTTGTAATTTCGTTCTGTTCTGTCTCAAAGTGTAATAGCTCTAATTAAAAAAAGCACAAAATTCTGGACAAAAATGCAACTGCTGTGGGGTAGTTTGAGCTCATTGTGCTACAGGTTTCATCCCTCTGTTTGTGTGTGGCTTTTGGAAATCTTTCCCGTGGCGTGTTTTGGGTGCGTGTGATTTAGTCCTGAACGTGTGATTTGTGCAGTGCTGGGATTGTGGCTGTTGTATCTAAACCCCTGAAACTGCAAAATAAAGAGAAATGAAGTCACTGGGTGTGGCCAGAGAGTTTGTGTCAGCTGCATCACTTGGGTTAGGCAATGCTGGGCAAGTGTAAAGAAGAAATCCTTTTAATGCTCTAAAAGTACGTCAAACTACAGTGGTCTTTGTGCAGTCTGGAATCACTGTGTAGGTTTGAAGCAGAGTGAAGATTACAAGGATTATTTGGCCAATAAATGGGCAGTGCTGTGTTTTAATTGTAGAAGCAGCAGGTTTTAGGGCAACTTGAATAACTAGCAAAAATAATGTTAAAAAAAATCCACAGTAGATAGCAATGCTTTTGAGCTGTGCAGATAAAACTGAGTGCCTTAGTGCAGATAATGATTTGTCAGCTCAGCAACTCAATGGCAACAGAAAATGCAGTCAGTAGAAATAGAATTTCAATTCTTGTCTTTTACTTAGTATTTTTTTCTCTTTTTTCCCCTAGCAAAAAGGACCTTTTCCTATCCTACCCAACATATAGTTGTGTTTCACTGTGTTCCAGTCAAGTCAGAGGGGTTTTTTTAAAGAATACAATTACATTCCAGGCCCTTCAAGCTAGGATGGGGGAATTGTTTTTCACAGGCAGTCTAAAGAACTGGAAAAGACAGGAATTCTATCCTGCACTACACTGCATACATAGAAAAAAAAATAGTATTTGGTGCAGAAATCCTGCAGAGTTTATTTCAAATAAGGAATCAAATCATCACAGGCAACTGGCACATCTCTGCATTAATGTGTGTTTTGTGTATCTCATCATCTTGCATTTGCTGTGAAGGAATACAGGGAAAGCCTTTTGCCTTAAATGGCCTGCAGCTGATTTCAGTATCAGCAGTGAGTCAGGAATTGTTCTTGTATTAACTTGTAAGAGGTAATGGCAGAAGGCGAGACAGAGATTTATCAGAGCAAAGGGAAGTAACAGACCTGCTTGCATTGAACCAAAACCTGCACAAAAACCTGCTTGCACTGAAGACAAACGCCAAAATTTGTGATGTGGTTTCGTATGGAGCCTTCCATTTGAATGGCAGTGACCCAGGATAGGAAGGGCTGGTAGAACAGCACGGCTGCAAGATAAAAAGAGGTACTGGAATGTGAAAAAGCAAGATGTGACTGCTCTTCACAAGCATCTCTTTGGCTTGCACGATGCAGCAAGAGACTTATAGAGAAATCCTGGGATTAGAGATGGGTCTTGGCTTCCATCTTGTGGAGGAATAAAGCTCTGAAGTATCAGGTAGAACATCCAGCCTGAATTTTCACGCCTGTTCCTCAGACAGCCCTCATTTGTTGGCCTCTGACGCCTTTCCTTGGCGTTCACCGCCCCCCGAGCAGCCAACACCGGCTCCCGCACGGGCACCGGGAACCCCGGCGTGACAGGGAAGCACAGCTGGGCAGGTGTGCAGCGGTGGGGCAGAAGGGCTGCGATCGCTGCAGGGGCAGCTCCCCCACGGGGCCTCGGCGGTGCCGTTTGGGAACTCCCGGAGGTTCAAGCCAAGGGGCAAAGCGGCACTGCCGTGGTCACCGGAGGCGGATGGCGGGGAGAAGGATACCCCCAGGGACCTGCTGAAGTGGTCACGCAAAGAACGGAGCTTTATTCTATGAAGCAGCCGCGGGTGCAGAGTTTAAGCTGTTCGGGACACAGCATTACGTGTAAATATCGGGAACACAGAGCCCCGGCCGTCCGCACTCGGTGCGTCCCGGCGCGCTCTGAGCCCAGCGCTGCCCACACCCCGCCTGGGCCAGCTGATTGGTCCTGCCGGAGTGAGCGACAGCGGGTCGGACCAATGGGTGAAGGCAATGAGGGGAGGCGGCCACCTCCCACCAGCTGCTCTCGGGCTATTCCAACACCAGAGCAAGGGGGGGAGCCAGCTCGGCCGGCGGGAAGGGCGCACACGTGGGAAGGCGACGGTGCTGCGAGCACCCCCCACCCCCCGCCTCCTTCCTCCCACCTCGCCCTCGCCGCTCTGCTTTCTCCGCGCTCTCTGCCCGATCCCTGAACGGGGTTCGTGTGTCCCCCACCCACCCCCTCCTCTCCCCCCTCCATGGTTTCCCTCACCCGCTGACGCCGGGCAGCCGCCCCCGCGCCAATCGGCGCGCGCCGCGGCCATGCGCGTGCGCATTGTGGCGGCCGCCCTCGCTCGGAGCGGGCGGGCGGCGGCCGGGGGTGCCCGCGGGCGGGCGTGGGGCGGGCGCCCGGCTCGGGCCGTTGTGCGGCCGCTGTGGGGCAGCGGCTCCGCCGCCGCCGCCGCCGCCATGCCCGGCAGGAACAAGGCGACGTGCGGCTACGGCAGCCCCGAGCTGGCCGTGGGACAGCAGCAGGCCGCGGAGGGCGGCCGCGACGCCGGGGGCCGCTCGCCTCACGGGGACGAGGAAGAGGAGCGCGGGGCGGGCGGGCCCGGCCACAATCTGGGCGACCCCGACATCGTCAAGTCCCCCAGTGACCCCAAGCAGTACCGGTGAGGGCGGCAGGGGAGGCGCGGAAGGACGGGGCTCGGTGGGGCGGGCCGTGGTCTGCGCCGTGTCCCGGGCACCGCTGGATTTCGGGCTCGGCTCGGCCCGGTGCCCGGGGAGCTGCGGCCTGTCTGGTTGAAGGAGGGGGAGCTTCACCGTGTGCTCCTGCGGGGGATGGGCTGTGCGGGAGCGGGGCTGGCGCTGACACAGGCCGGGGCATCGGCTCTGTGCGGGGAGGGGGGGACAGTTCGCCAGGCACGGCAATTCCCAATTAATTGTTAGTTCGCAGCCCCTCGCCGAAGGCGTTCAGCTGAAGTGCAAAGTGCGGATAAGTATTTTCAGAGCAGATCCCAACTTTAAAACAACCTCTAAAACTCTTCCTGTTTTAGACGAGCTTCCAAGTTTTAACACAGACATATCTTCAAGTTGAGGCAAAGTGCTTTTAGGCTGCCGTTTTTCTTGTGTTGTTATTTGAATGTATCGGAGTAATACCCCAGGAAGTGATGAAAAGGATCACCTTCCCTGAGCACTGTCCACAGCGTCCGTGGCCAGACACAGCGAGGGACTGGGACAAGAACTCCAGCAGAGATTGAGCTCTTTGGATGCTGTAAAACAGTTTATTCTTGAAGGGACACTGATAACTTCTTCCTGTTAGGCAGATGATGATCCAGCCCTTGTTAAAGCTGCCTTTTTTTTTTTTTTGAAATCTTTGCTTTTCCTGATGTCTAATCTGTGCAGCCAGTGGAGGATACGCTACCTGAACCGGGAACCGAGTTTTGGATTTGCAGTGACATTGGTTGACAGTGAAATTCCCTGCTGGCTGCCTGAAGAGGACTTATGCCCATTGGTTTGGGGAGAAACTTGCTCCCTCCCTTCTCGCCCTACTTCTTTGCTGCTTCCTCTGAATCGCTGCCTGCCTCTCCCGATGGCATTCTTGCTCAGTGCTACTTTGTGGCAGGCTGTCTTCCTGGAAAACTCACAGCTACAGACGCTGTCAGCTCAGGGAACTTCTGCGTTTGCTACCTGAAGCAGCACACTGGTGAATGGAGCTTGGAAAATCCATTGACGGCTGTCACTACCCTTTTTGAGGCTCAGGAACCTTTTCTGCACGTAGAGAATTGGAGCGTGGCTTTGCTTCTAAGACAAGGGTGACATCAGCCTTAACTTAGTGAAAAATGTCATATTTTACCTCCTCAGATACAGTGATCACAAAACCCAAAAGAGCTGTGACAGGGATTGGAGGATGTGTTTTCAGTAGTGAGTTTGTTGGGACAAAATAATCATCATAATGAGAGCTGGGTTTGCTCATTAGGGCTGTAACTGGGGAGTTGTATTTACCAGAAATGTATGTTTTATTTAAATTCATCCATATATGGAATTTCATGGGCTTGTATTGCTTGTAATTTGGGAAATTACAACATTTCTCAGTGTTTACCTTATACTAGTATGTATTTAAATCTTAACTTCTGAACAATTGTCATTAATATAAGAAAAATTGTTGCGTGAGAACAATCCTGTTTGAACTTACCCAGGACGTTTAAAGAGTGCTTTTAAGAGTTTGAATTTTATTTTATATTTAAACTTTATTTGCATCAGTGCCTGTATAGTCCTTCAAAAAAAGCAATTGGACTGTGCTTGCTTCTGTTTCTACCTTATGTGACTGTATTTTTTGTACTGTGTTTTGCATACTAATGGACACTTATGTATTGGTTACATTTGTCCTTTTCCATCGGATTGAAACATGGAAAAAGTAAAGAACACCTATGTCAGTGGTGCCTCTGCTCAGTATGACCTAAACAGTTCTAGATTCTCCTGGAGTGAAATCTGAGAGCCTCCACCAGCAGCTGGGTCAGTCCTGTCCTTGCTGCTGGTGCTTTCTGTCTTGTGTGCAACACCCACGAGCCTCCCGATGAGTAATGTCAAATTAGGGTAATCTGCTCCCTGAGCTTAAAGGGGGTGTGTGGAAAGGATCAACAGGAGCTACTGGATACACCTGACTGAGCAGCTTTGTGGCACACTGTTCCTCTGGGAGAGCAGCCCCATTCTGTTCTCTCTGTGACTGATCCCTGCCAGGCCACTGTTCTCCGTGGGAGAACCTGAGGAGGAGAGTTGTTGTGGAGGAGAAGGAGATGCTGATTGTGCTGGGAGATGCTGCAGCCTCAGCTTGTGACTGTCTGTGGCGCTGGCTCTGAGCTGCTCAGAGTGTACAGTGTAATCTTTTAGGCCCCTTTGTACATTCAGGAGTGTGAGATATGGACATGATGGAAAGGGTTACAACCAGGCTTTCAGACATTAGCATGGGTGTGCACTATCTGTGCCTCCTGCAGGTGGGCAGAGCACCTCTGCAGGTTACACGCTCTGTTCTGGGGTTTGTACAAGCCAGAGAGCACTCGTGCCTTGGATTGGAGCAGATTTGTCCTGCTCAGCAGTCCTGCAGCAATCTGGGTGTGTTCCTGCTGGCCCAGAGCAAGCACCGTCACTTCCCCTTGGAGACTGCTCATGATTCATGAACTTTACACAACTATTAAACATTTGTTCATTAGCTTTCTTGCACAGACT